GCGAGGCAACAAAGGCTCGCACCACGGCCAAAACGACACCGCCTTGTTCTACGACCAGATCAAGTCCAAGCTCCAGCTTGACTTCAACAAGAACCAGCTCGTCGAGAAGCTCCGGAGGCTGAAGAAGAAGTACCGGAACGTCCTCAACAAAATCGCCAGCGGCAAAGAGGTTAGCTTCAAGAGCCCTCACGATCAAGCCACGTTCGAGATCTCCCGCAAGATCTGGAGCAATATCGGCCGTATCGGCCCTGACGATAACGCCTTGGACGATGAAGATCCGAGCCCTAACCCTAACAATCCCAATTTCAACAATTATGAGATTAAGAACGAGGAGGCTGCTGGTTTCGCCGGCGATAAGAAGTCCACGCCGAGATCGCGCAAGCGCTCGCGAACGCAGCTTAGAGCCGAAGAAAAACCGCCACCGTCCCGTGGAGGTTTCGTTGAGCCATCGCTTGTAATTAAAGATAATAACAACAGCATTAATAACAGTAACCATGGTGGTGGTGGTAATAGTTGCAGCAATTGTAATGTTCACGGGTTGATTGAGGAGACGGTGAAGAGTTGTTTGTCTCCGTTGTTCAAGGAATTGTTGAGTAGTGCAATGGGCGGCGGGTCAGCTAGAGGGTTCGGAGGGTTGTCATTGAATCCTATTCCATTGAGCTTCGGCGGGCCGTCCATGAATTTGAATTTTGGTGGTGGTGAAGGGGCAGATGAGAAGTGGAGGAAGCAGCAGATATTGGAGTTGGAGGTATACTCCAAGCGATTGGAGTTGGTTCAAAATCAGATAAAAGTTGCATTGGAGGAGTTACGATCCAGCCGAGGCTGATGAATCCATGGGGGCTTCAGATTGAAGGTTGGCATTTCTAGTAAGTTGTGGGACTTTCCTCGAATCTTGAATTTTTTGTTCATATAAATTTGCTTGGTCTCTGATCAAATGGTTGATAGTGCAGCTGGTGTTCGCATTTTCGAATTTTCGTCTTTGTTGGTTTCATAGAACAGTTGTTGAATAATTATTTTCTGATGATTGTTTAGTCTTTTGATAGTTTTGTTCATACGCTTTAGATATGTGTAGATAGTTGATGAAATAATTTATAGATGAGAAAATTTTCGTTTCCTTACTGTATCTTGATGTACGTTATATGTTTTTTGACAAAAAATTGATCAAGTCAGCCACTTTATTTATTGCGTTTGATTGTAATCATGTGTTAAAAATATGGAGATTTCATTTACGGGATTGTGAGACTCGTAATTGCAGGTAGAAGGAATTTAGAAATCACCGTATGTTCTAAAGGCCTGAACTTCTTGGTCATGATTTGCCCTCCCATTTACCCTTCTAATCTAGAGCTGTTTGTTTTTTTGGGGGTGAGTTGATCATTTAGATTTATCCTAGCTTATGGAAAGCTGATGAATGTTCGTTTCATACCTACTTGGGCTAAGCCACTAGATATTGGTGTATATCAGTTTTGACATGTTTGGTGTTGGAGTTTTACTTTATTTGTTTTTGGTTTGATGTTTAAGGTTTTTATTTGTTCCTTTCTTTTTCAAGACCTTGAAAGCTATGATATGTAAGTAATACAGCGAGTCATACACTTGAGACAAGATCTGTCTTCAAACTTGCACATAGTTATTATTGAATTCAAGATTTTACTTTACTAGCTATGGTTATTTTGCGTTGAACAACGATTAGAACTACACATTTGTACAGGCAGGCATATGCATATATACTTGTGTTAGTTACGTAGAGTAAATTCATAAAAGACGTGTACGTCTATATCTATAGCTAGAAATGAACTAGCTTTGTCTATGCAATGTGTGTTTTAGACGAAATTATGTATTTCAAAGGATTTTGTTTGATGTTTGAAATTCATTCAAAGTTGAGACAGATCTCATACAGAGTCACCATGAATTGAATTCATATTTTATGCTCAAAGTTGAGCAGTTATATGTGGATTGTTAGTCTAGGAATCACTTAAAGTAATCTGACCAATTTCTGTTGGAGATTATAATGTGGTGTTGATATTCATGCAGTGGTATAGGAGTTGCCATTTTGTGATGGTTAGTTGAGGAGTGTGTTAGACTTGGATGCATCCGGGGTTAGAGATCGGCTATACTTTACTCCTGCAAAAATACTAAAAGTCGGCCCGTATTATTGCTGTATCGGCTGAACTTTTCCCACCTGGACCCAAATAAGATAAGTTCGATAGGGCCTGAACAAGCACACTGGGCCGTAAATGGGGTGTTCGAAATGTGACACTAAATCGCTAATTTCGGTTCAAAAGGGGCCCATAAGTCGGGTAAAGAAACTGGCCCCGGGTTTCCGCCATTAACGTGAGAGCCTATAATAGACAACGTAAGCCCACCGAATCGCCCACGAAAGACAAAAAAGGCCCACTGAAGGGCTCATACACGACAAAATAGGCCCAATTAAAGGCCTATAAACGACAAAATAAGCAGCACAGAGGCCCAAAAATCGATTACATAGGCCCAATGGAATCCCATAACCGACAAAATGGGTCCAATAAAGTCCCACAAAAGACAAAATAGGCCCATAAGAGCCCAATAAAAGACAAAATTGGCCCAATAAAGAACTATAAACGACAAAATTGGCCCAATGAAGGCCACATAAAGACAAAATAGACCCAATGGAGTCCCCATAAAAGACAAAAAAAGCCCACCGAAAAGACAGTAAAGGACAAAATAGCCCAATGGAGTCACATAAACGACAAGCCAGGCCCAATGCAAGTCCCACAAAAGACAAACTAGGCCCAATGATAGCCAATAAACGACAAAATAGGCCCCATGAGTCCCAGAAACTACAAAATAGCCCACCAAAAATATAACAAACGACAAATTAGGCCCACCAGAATTACAATAAAACAGGCCCAGTAAAGGCCTATAACAGACAAAATAGGCCCAAAGAAGACCACTAAACGACAAAAAGAGGCCTAGCGAAAAGACAATAAACGACAAAATAGGCCCAATGAACATAAACGACAAAATAGGCTAATTTAAGGGTCTTTAAAAGACATGGTAAGCCCATCAAAAGGAAACTAAACGACAAAACAGGCCCAATGAAAAACCGAAAACTACAAAATAGCCCCACTGCAGGGTCCATAAACGACAAGCTCACACTATATCCTGGATATTGGGCTTATGTCCTGGACATTGGTCTGCATCATATCTGCCCAGTTATTGGGTCCAAACTTTAAATCTGCCCAGTTATTGGGTCCAAACTTTAAATCTGCCATATAATTAGGCTTTAAGGTCTGGAAATTTGGCCGTTATTGGGACCCAAATGCACAATTAAAGGGCCTCAGTTCTCCATCATTGGTCCAAAACTATATGTACTGGGGCGCGGTAAATGTGACACGAGGTAATTTGAGTTTAAGGCGGTATGTACTAAATTTTGTATTAGTTAGGGGAACATGTATTATTTATTTTTCTATACACTAACAACATATTGTATTCATATCTTATGGGAGAAATCTTATGCGACAATTATTGCCTTTACTAAAAATCCTTCTGAATTTTTGAAATGTAATGACTAGAAGAGCTAATGATAATAATGATCCACACAAAAGAGCTGCACAGTTCAATACCATCATGCTTACATGCATCATTAACCAAAGGGATTGGCGGGCAGATACTAATATTTCGGATTGATGCATTTCAGTTAAAAGACCGAAGTAGCAAAACCTCGAGTAAAAACAGCACTTGAGGCGGTTATTGCGCTTAAAATAGGCCATCCAGAGGGGAGGTTCTTGCTTTGTCAGTGCTTGTTGGTCGGAATACCTCTGAAAATCGAAGCTGATACCACAGTTAACCCATCAGGGGCTCTGAAACAAAAATCATACTTGATATTTGCTTAGTTATTGCGAAATCATTGGCCCCAAACTTGACCAGAGAGAGCTTCAAACTGCAACATAACATTGACCAAAAGACATACAATTAATTAATTCACTGTTAATAGGAGATCTCCACAGTAAATTTTAATGATTAAGAAATCCCCACGAAATAATCATGGCGAGGAAGGCAAACAAACAAACTCCATATGAGAGAGAGACATGCTGCTGTCTGTATTACACATTTTTAAAGAGATTCATGAATAACAGAAATAACGTTCAATTCAAACCCTAAACCTAATATAATTACAAAGAAACTCTTCTGCTTGAAAACAGAAAACAATGTTAGGAAAGAAAACCCAAGCAGTACCTCTTCTTCTTCTAACCTAAATTTCTCATGTATTGTTTTTCATGTTCCATCAACAAAACAGTCCATCAAAGGTTTAATTGAAACCACAGATTCTACAGTCCAAGTCAAAAACATGAACAACATTGAAATTTCTCCTATTCAAATATCATGGAATTAGGTAGGTTCAAATTAGTCAAAAACTTAAGATCCAAATAATAAAAAGTCAACATCATGCCTCCATTGTAAAATTGGGGCTTTAACATTTTCTTTTTGTCCAAACAAACATGAAAAGAAATCTTGCCATGAACTGAACAGAGAGAGAGAGAGAGAGAGAGAGAGAGAGTGACTATCTTTCTTCCATTATTTCACACAAGTATAAATAAAGAAAGCAACAAGGAATAGAAATAATAATACAGATTCAGAGAAAAATCGAGTATTCACTGCCTCATCCACCATAAACCTCGAACTCAATTAGGGTTTGAGGTCAATAATTTTCGAATCAGATTCTAAGGAATAAGATGAAATGTTTACCTTCTCCAGCGCAGCATGGCTCCGTAAGCTTTAGTTGAGTTAAACATTTGCAAACCGGTCATGATTAAGCTGAATATTTTCAGTAAGGGCCAAGAAGCCGTTCTAGGATCCTTTCTTCTAGGGTCGAGGCGGTTATTGGGCCGAAGGTTGTCAAACTGCGCTGGCTGGGGTTGGACAAAATTTCAGGAAGGCCATTACGTTGCAAGATCTTGCAGTCTGGTCTGGGGTCACTTTCACACATTCACAAAAGCTCACGAGATTTCACAGAAACACTCGTTGCCACTTTCACTACAGCTTGACCAGAGCTTCAAACTGCAACAACATTGAGCAAAAAACATACACTTAATTCACTGTTAATAGGAGGAAGAATGAAATGAAAGGGGTAGAAGATCTTCACAGTAAATTTGATTGATTGCAGAAGCTTACCAATTAATTTAGGCCGGCTACTCATTGGTCTGCAGGTAGATTAATCCACCAGCAGCAGCAAATGATTAGAAAATTCGCAAGAACGTATGAGTGACATGCTGCTGTCTGTATCACACATTTTTAAAAAGAGTCAAACGAATAACAGAAATAACGTTCAATTCAAACCCTAAACCTAATATAATTACAAAGAAACTCTTCCACTCGAAAACAGAAAACAACGTTAGAAAACAAAACTCTAGTAGTACCTCTTCTTCTTCTAACCGAAATTTCCCACGTATTGTTTTCATGTCCCATAAACAAAATTGCCCATCAAAAGTTCAATTGAAAACACAGATTGTAAAGTCCAAGTCAATACATGAACGAAATTGAAATTTTTCCTATTCAAATATCATGGAATTAGCTAGGTTTATATTAGTAAAAATTTAAGATCCAAATTATAAAATTGGGGCTTTAACGTTTTCTTTCTGTCCAAACAGACATGAAAAGAAATCATGCCACGAACTGAACAGAGAGAGAGACTATCTTTCTTCCATTATTTCACGCAAAAATAAATAAAGAAATCAACAAGGAATAAAAAAAATAATACACATTAAGAGAAAAATCAAGTATCCATTGCCTCATCCGCCATAAAACCTCGAACTCAATTAGGGTCTGAGATCAATCATTTTCGAGTCAGAATCTAAGGAATAAGATGGAATGTTTACCTTCTCCGGCGTCGCATGGCTCTGTTGTCGAGTGTCGTCAACTTCATCGTCGAAGCAGGCACGCGACGCATCCTCTCTCTGCGCCTTTCTCTCTCCCTCGAACCTCACTTCGCTTCTGTGAAGTTAGATCTGAAATGAAAGGGCTCTCTCTCTAAAAATCCCTGTAGAGAAGGCCCGTTATCTTATTTGGGTTTGCTGGGCTTGTCCCTATTTTATGTGCACTTTTGGGCTTTGTTGAATGAGTTTCACCGACCCAAAATAAATAAATACACAGAATATTTTCGAAAATTCTAGAGATATACGATCGTTGTTTTGAGCTTCCAACGTTTTGGTCGAAAGAAATTCCCAACCAAGTTTAATTCTATCTTATTATGTTTATTTACAGCTAAACATGCGGACCCACCACAAGCTAAAAGCGTTAAATTTATTGGACTATATTACCCAACATATATGTTATAAGAGCATCCACAGTGGGGGAGTGTATTTTCGAGGGTATAAAGCCACTTTTACATCCCCTTTATACATTCGGGGGTTGTAAATGTGGTTTTTGCTCTAATGGGGAAATGTAAATCTAAATATGTATAATTGATTTTGCTTACTTTTGTCCACATTTTCTCATATAGGCCCTACCTGCAAGGGATGTAAAAAAGGATGTACATGTGCATCTAAATTTACATCTTATGGTTGTAATGCAAATTTACAATCGTTTACACCTCCCAATTGCAGGTGATTTCCATCACAAAAGATGTATAGTTAACATGCACCTCATTATACAACCCACCACTGGAAATACTCTAAAAGGGGGACTATAATATCCAATATATATGTTATAAAAAGGGGGAGGAAAATCAAAACTGGGACCTCTAATGTAATGATAAATGCTTTTAACTACTTGAGCTACAAGCCTCTTGCATATTACCCATTAATTTGAACAATGTGCAATGTAAGATTTCTTTTAAAACGAGCTTCAAATTTCAATTTCTCAATATGCAACAGCTGATTGTATAATGAAAAGTCATTATTGAGGAAACCAACAAATTTTCTTTTCCTAAATTTTTAAATGTCTTGTAATAACAGAATTGAGTCTTCAATCAGTTATGGTGGAATTTTCACCATAAAGGGAATCATGAAAATCAATACATGGGAAATTTCGCCTTTGTTTTCTCAAATACTTGTTCAGCAATAACAGCACCGTTACCATCTGCTTTCTTGATCTCCAAGTGAGCTTTTTGATAATATGCAGTGCCCCTTAGTGCATCCGCAATGAAATCATCAAACCCAATTGCTATCGCTGCTTCAGCTTTAGCTCCATACACCAACCTCTGTTCAGAAAGAGCACGACAAATTATGGAAACCTAATAGCAATGTGATCCACTCATTACTAAGCGGAAGCTAAAAGGTTTGAAAATTGGACCTTTAGTCTTGAAAGATGAATAGCACCAAAGCACATTGGGCATGGCTCACAAGATGCATATATTTCGCAGTCTGCGAGCTCTATCTGATTGAGCTTCTTACAGGCCTGTGGAAATTTTTTATCCCGAGCATGAAATCCAAAAAGCATTTGGAGGCACAAGATATAAAGCATGACAGAAATTCAATATCAAATAAAGATCAGGGGGGGTAACTAAAACTAGTAGAAACTGAAAACAATGGGATATGATTTCGGAAACATATTTGCTAAGATCTATATACATACTCATCATGCTTACAACTCTACAATGACCATACGGAACATAAAAACCTTTTGGGTGTGTGTGTATCCTCAGTTCTTCTGTTACAGTAACATTGTCCCTCTCGACATCAAGTGCTCCCAAGTGATAACATTAAGCATCAGAAAAAAAGAGTACCAATAAGATGGTATTTACAAGAAACTTTCAAGCTCACTTTATTATAAAGACTAAACAAAAATGACATTTAAGTCTTCCCTAAACCAATATGCATGAGTGTGTCTATGTGTACACACTCTAGGAAGGATCTAACCATTTTGGCATTATTACCACCATGTTTTCAGTAAGCAAAACCACCCTCATGAGGCAATGTAGTAATTTAATAGTCGAACCTCTCTTATGGCAGTAACCTCTGCATGGGCAGTCGGATCAGTGTTTTTCAAAACCATGTTGTGACAGCTGACAACTATTTCATCATTACGAACAACAACTGCGCCAAATGGCCCTCCATCTCCACATTCAACTCCCTTATAAGCTTCTCCAACTGCTTCTGTCAAGAATTTGTGGTCTCTATCCTGTACAACTGGTTGAAAAATAAAACGAAAAGCAAAGCATGATAATTATGAAGACCATATCTGGTGCAAAGTACGCCTTTTCTGACAAGGCGAATAAGTAAATATATTACTTCATTTGCCAGATGTTACAAATTGAATATCAACAAAATAATTAAAACAGGGACATAAAAACTCTATTGCTTATCTATATAACCATCTATTTAAGTTCTTCGCCACACACCCCACCCCACCCCCCCACAACAAAACAAAAAAAAAAAACAGCTGATAGCAAGACTGGCCCAACTGCCTAAAGTGTATTATTGACTATTTATATACTATAGTAATCTTCACTGCACATTGGGGAAGGGAAATGGTAACGAGACAAAAGAAGAGTTTGGTGTTACCTTGTTGATGAGCAGCAAATGCAGAAGCCACAGAAATGGTTCCATCGTTCGCTTCCACCACTACCAATGGAGGAGGGGTAACTATTATTAAGCAAAGCATCCAAAGTTCCCATATGCATATAACAAATACCAACATTTCAAACCACACTTTGAAATTTCCTATTAATATACAATAGAAGTGCAATGACTTAAATTATATGCACTCGCAATAACAATGTAAAGGAAATAACATTTTATCCAATCAAGGCTCCAACCAAGTTTATGCTTCCAATTTATACACACATATCCTAGAACTTCCCTGAAAAGGAATATATATATATATATATATATATATATATATGGGTGAACACGAGAAAGAAAATTTCATAAATCAAACAAATTAGGAGTGAATGCACACAAATTCTAAATGAAAGCATAAGATCATCTTGTAAAAGTACAACTGAAGAGAGATTCACAGGTCTTTGAAGGAAAAGGAGAACCGTAATTCATGGTTGCTCCAATTCACATTGCAGTCAAGGGCACAAAACGATTCCTACTTTGGGATTAAATGTCTTGCCACCACTACTGGATATGATAAAAGACATGTATCTACAAGATTTTGCGAAGAAAATGCAAATTTTTGACATTTTTAATCAATTTGCTTTGAAGCAGCTACATGATCGATTGAGTTGTGTAAGGGATGGTTGGTGGAGCATTAGAATGCTACAAATTGGAATATGGGATCTCAAATCTAGGGATTTAAATCAATGTTAGTAGTTAAATAGCTTGAATTCAGTGTTTGCAACACATCCAAGTTACTTTTCTACTTTCTTGAGCAAAAATCAAGGCAAGTCCTAGTCAAAAACACTTACAAGTTGCAATGGGCACCAGAATATAAAATATTATAATTTTCATGGAAATGGTGATACAAACAAATCTGGACTTACCCAGAAACAAATATGAGAATCAGAACAGGAAACGCACCTAGCCTTAGAAATAAAAATTCAGTCAAAAGTCACAGACAGTAAATGAGCAAAACCATGGCACAAGCGCATACTCAATTCACACACACACACACACACAAATTGCAGTAAATGGGAAATATATACATGATCTGATAATAATAGCCAAGAAAGTAAACGAACAGAAAAGAAGAGCAAAAGAGTATAAAAATAGAAATGGGGTCAAAGACACAAACCATTAGCATCCGCCATGACAGGAATTGGAGATGTACGAAAGAAGAAAGAAAGATCAAAAGAATTAGGAACTGAATTGGGATAGTCAAGAAATGGGGTGTGAGGAGGATAAAATATAGAGAACAGGGAAACGTGAAAGGAAGAAAGAAAGCGCGATGAGAATTGAGATGACCTGGTCCACCAGTTAATTAATGTTATTATTTTTATATGTATTTATTTTTACATAAATAGTTGTTTAATTTTTTGGACAAAAATAATAATAGCTGTTGGTAAAGAGCGAGAAGGAAAGAGACTGGAGATAACGGAAAAAGAGTATGAACGAAAATAGAGAAACAAAGACACGACAGTCGAGGTGTGAATGCGAGTGCGTAAAGGGGATCTTGTTAGTGTACTTTCGTTGACTTCCAATTGGGCTTTGGGCCAAATTTTGGGCCTAGTTTGGTTCCCTTTCGGCCCTTTGGGTTTTCGAATGAATTGCTTCTGAAGACCAATAGTAAATTCAAATTGGGTGGGTTTCTAATTTATATGATTGGGTTGGTGCTGGGCATGAGGTATTTAAGATTTGGACGCTACTTGAATTAGGAAAGTTTTCCAAAACTGACGAGGAAAACTCCTACTTGAATTAGGAAGATTTTCTACTCCACTCACTCTCCTATAAATATATTAAACGGTGGCTTAGACAACACTCTCAATTTCTCTATTTGCTCTTTCTTTCTGTCTCTCCATCTCTTCTCTGAGTCTTTCGTGTTTCCTTTCTCACAGAATTATCATTACAATGAGGAAAGGAGGAGCAAAGAGGAAGGTTAGACAGATGGAAATAGAGGCCAGCCAGAAGCCTGCAGACACTCAGCCATTGCGAAAGCGGGTCAAGGCAGTCGAACCCGAGCCCAGCCCCAAACCTGAGTCCCCGGAGGAGCCCCGAAAACTGGAAGAGCTATGGAAGGCTGCGTTTCCTGTTGGGACAGGTTGGGACAAAATGGAGGCTGTGCACAACAAATTCAAGTGGGATTTCACCAATCTGCAACAAGCATTGGAAGAGGGAGGAAAGCTCCATCAAGAGATCATCGGCAAGGATAGCAACAAAGTGTATCTATTCGGCACGATCGAATGCCATATCCATAGAAGCTCTGAAGAAGAAATTACAGTCCCTGTGGTGGTGGCCATTGCATCGCCTTCCCGGCCTGCCTATGAACTGAGCATCAGACCATTTGATAGCCAACGAAATGCTGAAGAAACCAGAGTTCCAATGAAACAGTTGCATATGGATTGGGTTCCATACATTCCTCCGGACAAGAAGACAGACGCCCAAGAAGCTGAGAGAGTGATGAAATCTGCTCAAGTATTTGTGTTGGGCAGCACTCAGAGTAGGACTGCTGCTTTGAAACCCTTGAAGGAAGAAGGTTCCATGAAACTTCAACACTACATGCCTTACTTGGATCACAAGGAAGAAGATCATTGGTGCTGGGTAGAGCGCGAGATAGATGGAGTTGCCAAGACCATCATAGATGAGTTAAAAGACGATAACGAATTATCTCCAGTTGTGAAGGCTGGCTTGAAGGAATATGTCCTGGACAAACTATATGAAGCAAAGAGAAAGCATCAACGGGAATTTAGACAAGCCATGAGAAAAACTACTAGTGTTCAAGCAGCTCCAGAGGCAGAGGAGGGTTTTGAAAACATGAGGATTTATAAGTTCTACCCCATGCAATCTCCAGAAACTCCTGACATATCAAAGGCTAAATATAAATTCATCAATAAGTATTGCGGGAAGGCTCATGAGGTCCTGTGAACAAGTTGAAAAATTCAAAACCTGATTCGACTTGGTTGCTCAAACTATCTGTTGAATTAGATTAGTAATTCAATGCGTAAAGTCTAAAAACTTGTGAATTAGAATTTTTAATCAAAGAGCTTTTTATATACCCGATTAAATAGATGTTTATTAATACGATTAAGAAGCATCTGCACTTTGGCAATCATCCCGTGGAAACGTCACATTCAATCGCTATGCTAGTATTGGCAAGAATCACAACTAAATGACGGAAGTCAATAAATAATCTGAAATCTGTTGCTACTCAATATTCTAAATTTGTCCATTTCAGAATACTGAAATTTTGCAAGAACAAAAAGAAAAAAAAAACCTAAACAGCCGCTGGCTCTCTAAAACCCACAATGACACTAAAAGAAGCTTCATTTCAAACGCACCTAAAGGCAAAACATATTTAAGGAAAGCCCATTGCTGCTATGGGCTATAAAAATCAGCACCAATACTACTGAGACTCATTTCTTCTTTCCAGCCTTGGCAGCATCTGAAGCCTTGGTCTGCGCAAAAAGAACCACATAATTGTAACCAAGGTACTGAAATCAAACTATAATCACGCAAGCAAATAATATAAGCAACTCTCTTACCTTCTTTACTCCTCTGATCTTCTTGGCTCTGTTCTTCCTTTCCTTCAACTGCTTTCTCGACTTCTCTATCTTAGTATCAAGTCCATTCTGCCATATAAAAAACATTCAGTGGTATGAATACGCTAACAAACTATGAAAACGATCAAGAAGAGATGGAAATAAAAGGGTCGGAGATTATTGATAATAATAAGACACATAAATCTAATCTTGCTCGCCAAGCTTAGTTTAGCAAAACAATAGATATAAGTATTAACTCATGCTCAACTACTACCACATGCCAAAAAAATGCAAAAACAACTAATAAACACAAAGGACCACCAACTAACAATCTGTGATCGGCTTTATAAAATTATAATACATGTAAATCCTTAAATCCAATTAAACGAGATTATCTGACTGCAACTAACCAATCATCAAGCAATGTTCTGAGAAAGACTATTTATTTAGGGAAAATGAATAAACAAAAACTGATAATACTTTAAATTGGATGAACAACAGAAACTAAAACAAAAAGGCATATCATAGTATGAACAATCAACATCTCTACAGTTCTTACCAACTTGGCTTAAGTTAATTCAGCCTAGGAGTTACTCAGGTGATAATCACAATCACTTCAGCAGGGCTAGCTACAGTTCTAGCAGTGGCAATGTCCTAGTGTTAAGCTAAAACATGAAAAGACCAAAAAGGAAAACCTTCGATGAACTTATTATATAACTCTGGACTTACCCTGATCAACCTGTACTTGGGCTCGTACTTCTTTGCATTTTCGACAGAATCATAAATCAATCCAAATCCAGTAGATTTACCACCACCAAAGTGAGTCCGGAACTTGAAAACAAAGATTGAATTCGGGTCCTTAACCTCATAGAGTCTAGCTAGCTTCTCCTTCAGCTCAGCCTTCACAAAACCGAAAAACCAATACATTTAATTACTGAGCAAGTGCATAATTCACATTATTGCTATTTTTTATGAGACAAAAATTCAAATGACAAATATATTGTCGATAAAGTTCAAACAAAATTGAAGGCAATTATGTAAAAGCTTAAATTTGAAAAGAAAAACAACAATACCTTGGAAACATTTGGCCTGCCTGGATGAAGAACATCAATGACCTACGGGAACAAAAGCAACAGAGGCATTACAATTAAACCCGTAAGAAGATTAACGAGGGAAAGTTGACAACACCAACATCCCATAAATCATTTTCAACGCACTTTTCGACTAAACCCTCTCAAATCCAACATAAAAAGAAGTTCAGAAAACCAAGAGATCTGACAAAAAATAATACTAGAGTAGAGCAATGGCGCATAAAAATAAACATGAAATCCAAAACCGCATTGAAACACCAAAGACTTAAAACTATTTAGTTTTAGGTTGTATACCAAAGAAAGAAAGAAAGAAAGTAGGGAGGTACTCACGAATTGCTTGCGAGAGAGAAGCCTGTTGGTCATGAACTTCCTGGTACGGATGGTGACTGCCTTGTCCGCCATGGTTGGTTTTGATAGGCTTAGCCTAGGAATGGAAGATACCTAACCAGAGGGCAATGAGGCGGAAATGCAGAAGCAGCAGCTGAGGCAGAGAGGGTAAGGGAGAAAGAAAAGTTAGCTTTTATTGGATTAGGGTTTTGAAGGAGGACGAAAGCTTTGGGTCGCTTTTGGTTTGGGCCAAACTACGTTCAAATCTTTCTGGACTAGGCCCAAATACCCTGATTAATTCCGGTCGGATTCTGAATTCGGGTCATTGACTCAGTGGAAGTCACGTGCCCAGCACATCTATCTTCATGAGTTCTTCAGAAAAGAGACGACGAAGATGAGGCTGAGATTGAACCAATCAAAGGGACGAGACGACAGCTGCTTAGCCAGCGGCCACAACAACTTCCCAATTTGATTTGATTTCTCAAAACAAAGCACACATCGTCCACACCTTCACATTCCTTCAATTCCAAAACACTCGAAGCAAATTTTCATGGCAACTGCTTCGTTGCTCCAACCCAACCCATTGAAATGGACGCATAGCAGCTGCCCATTTCTCTTGCCTCCTCTTCGTCCTCTGCCCACCAAGCCTATCAAATTCAGCTCAACCTTCGACGTTGAACAAGCTTCCTGTAATTTCAAGGTCAAATGCTTCAAGCACTCAACCGACTCAAAACCAGACCTTGATCACACTCGGTCTCTGTCCCTTACTATCAAAGCTAACCCAGCAAACCCGCTTGAGCTTATCGCCAGTAAACTATTAAATGCTCTCAAGGCGTTGAGAAAGCCGGCAATGGCTGCCGTTTTATTGGGTCTGTTATTGATGTCCGACCCGAATTCGGCATTGGCCGCCTCGGGAGGGAGGGTCGGGGGGAGCTCGTTCTCGTCGCGGTCGTCTTCTTCGTCGTCGTCGTCGAGGAGCTACTCGGTGCCGAGGACTTCAAGTTCAAGACCCGATTTTTCGTACTCAGCGCCTTACTACGCGCCTTCGCCGTTCGGGTTCAGTGGTGGGGGTGGTGGGGTTTACGTTGGGCCAGCATTTGGGTTCGGAGTGGGTGCCGGGTCGAGTTTCTTTCTGATCTTGACGGGTTTCGCTGCGTTTGTTTTGGTTTCGGGGTTCCTCTCGGATCGGTCTGAGGGTAGTGTGCTTACTGCTACCGAGAAAACAAGTGTTCTCAAGCTTCAGGTATGGCGGAATTCTCATTCTTTATTTTGTTGACTAATTTGTATACATATTTGAGTGATTGAATGCTTATAAATTATAATTGTCACAAGGCAATGATTTTTTCAGAATGCTTTCTTAATGCTGATAATATCAGTGCTGCTGCCATGTAGTTTGAAATTCCGAAACTCATTTTCTTGTAAAATTAGAGCTTTTCATACATATGACCCAATCAATTGTTTGTTGACTTGTTGTCCCTGCTTGGCATTCAATCTAGTTTCTATTGCAAATAGATTTCCTTCAATTAGCTTGTGGATGGGTTGGTTGTAGAACTAATATTTTTGTGCTGAAGCAGCAAAAGGTGGAGCTTTTTTCTTTTTGTGGTTGGCACTTGTTAAAGAAGGGTTGATTGTTTGATATTTTATGTTCTTATTCCACTAGCCTTATATTTTAGAAATGTGATATGAACTTTGTAGACTCTTCTGTTGGATTTCAATCTGATAGTTTCACCATCATTATGTCCCCTTCTCTAAGGTTGGTTTGTTAGGCATGGGGCGAGCACTTCAAAGGGATCTTAATCGGATTGCTGAAACTGCAGATACTTCTACCTCTGAGGGTTTGGGATATGTTTTGACAGGTGAACACACAGAGACGCATACTGCAACTGAGGTTTTAGGATTGGGTTTTATACCATATACAAAATACCCTGCTACTGTTTTGTATCTTTTAGGTATTCTGATGCAATTTTTACTACACATTTCTTTGCAGAGACAACACTAGCTTTGCTTCGGCATCCTGATTATTGCATCTCAGGTTATTCATCTGTAAGTTCAATATCATCCTCTGGATTACTTGGTTAATCTACGCACATGAACGATTGCAGTTTAGTGCATCAGTGTTGTTGCCTACCATTAGGAAGAGATAATTATAATTCAAGAGAATTCCTCTCTCTTAAAACAATTATACTAACAACTTATGAGATAATATATGGCACTGACAACTACTCATCAACCCAAACAGCACATGCTAACTTTTTAAAGATCAAAACCATAGCTGCACTTAGATTTCTGTTGCGCATGTTTGGTTGTATGAACATGAACTTTAACTTCTGGCATACTTGTAGGTTGCTCAAAAGCGAGGCATAGAGGATGCAGAAAAACGCTTTAATCAGCTTTCCATCGAAGAAAGGGGTAAATTTGACGAAGAGACACTTGTCAATGTGAACAACATAAAAAGGCAAAGCTCATCAAGCCAGAGAGCTAATGGATTCCGCAATGAATATATAGTGGTAAGATCGAGTTGGGATGGCCTATGATAATACACATTCCCAATTTTTATTCATTTACCGAAGTACAAACGTATGTTGTTCATTTACAGGTTACATTTCAAATGTTCTAGAAAAATCAGTGTTTTCAAATGTAAGCATTGTGTTATAGAGTTTTGCACTCTTTGGTCAATTGTGATAAGGAAAGCCTTTTTGCCATGCTTTAGAAACAGTGAGATGCCTAATTTGCAGAGGAGTTATAAACATTTCTCGACCTCATCTTTGGACTACATCAATTTTTCTTTTTGTAGTCTTTCCATTTTGGTGCTATTGATGACTTATACCGTGTTAATGTGAGAAGTGATTGTCATGCTTCTATTATAAATCTGACATGGTTTAGTTTCACTTCTCTTCTAGTCTTTGAGGAATGAGACAGAATTTCGTAATTGAGTTGGCTAGTTTCAGGATTGTTTTAGGAAATAGAAATGTTTGTATCACTCTGTTTTCTGACCGAATTTCAATCAGATAACGATATTGGTGGCTGCTGAAGGAGTGCATAAGTTGCCCACCATCAATGGTAGTGGCGACTTGAAGGAAGCGTTGCAAAAGCTTGGATCCATTCCCTCAAACAAAATATTAGTAAGAGAAAAATGTCTACTTTGACGTGGAAGTTGTAAGTTTCTCTTTTTCTATTTTTGCTTGATACATATAATTTTGTTCTTTTTCCTGCAGGCAGTAGAGGTGTTGTGGACTCCTCAGAATGAAGCTGACACTCTGTCGGAGCGGGAACTACTTGAAGATTACCCGCTTCTGAGGCCTTTATGAGAGAACATTCCTACCACCCTGCATTATGCTGCAAGAGGTATGAACCGGACTGCATATTGGATGAACGTCCACTTAACCCGGGTATATCTATGGTGTACAGAAATACTGAATATCTAAGAAATTGTGTTTTTTGTATTATACAACTTTTATACAAAGGTTTCTATATTTAGTAGAGTTTCCTCGCATAAACTACAATCATTCGTGTAATAGAGATGTACTGCAGCAAATTTAATACAACAAAAACTACAGTTAGACGACATACATAGCTGGCCAGATATAATAATTAGCAAGTTTCTTATATAATGAATACTAGTTAACTCAAACGAATAGGCTCTAATCTTTTGGTTTGACTTTGACCTGATATCTTTTGCTCTTGATTTCCCCACTCCCCTTTTGTCCACTTACACTCTTTTGTAATGGTAATTACAAAAGTATTAAAAAAACGAAAGGGAGCGTAAGTGGACAAAAGAGCAACTCTCTTTTTTTTTTCTTTGGAGGGAGAAGGTTCTGAATAAATTAGTAAGTAAATCAAGCAACAAAAGTTCCTTGTAATGGTGTGGCTCGGTTACTAGTTACATCTGGTTAGGATTATGACAAGGATGTAACGAGGTTTGAACTGAGCTTCAAAACTAGTCGTATCAGTTATCCTGGAGTTTGCCTAACATTCCTTAAGAATGGATGACTTTCGGCAGAGAAGTTTCAACTCTCCAGCTTTTTAGCCGCAAAATTTTACCATTGTTTTTTCAATGGGCTGAGGTCCTCAAGAGATAAATTGACGTTAGATAGAGACTGGATTGGAGCTTGGGTCCATTCAAGTTGGGCAAAGTTACCAAGTGGTCCAACTCCAATAATATTATAGTTTATAATCCCCTTCATTCATGAATCCATTGAATCAATGATAATGGTGTCTTATGCCAACCCACAAAGTGGAAGTCATATTCTAAAATCTACCACAGAAAGTTACATTTACAGGAACATGATGCAGCAATTTACTCACAGCCGTTTGATAATCATTTCTATTTTAATTTTTAGTTTTCATTTTTTGTGCTAGTGTATAGAGAAAAATGAGAGTGAGTATGAGATTGAGAGAGGATGAAAGGGGAGGATGGGGAGAGGTGTAACAAAAGTGAAAATAATTTCAAATAGATTTTAGTTTTTAGTTTTTGTTTTCACTTTTGTTACTCTTCTCTCCCATCCTCCCGTCTCATCTTCCCTCTAAATCTCATATTCACTCTCATTCTCACTTCCATTCTCCCTCTTATTCCTCTATACTTTAACACAAAAAATAAAAAATAAAAACTAAAATAAAAATGGTTATCAAACACACCCCTAGAAAATGGAATATTTACTTACCACTTTCAAGTTTCAACCAAGCTCTGCAACTTGTCAAAGGGAATACATATGTTATATATTCAAGTCTTTTGTGTACACTCATTTTACTTCAACTGTGGCTAGTTTCAAGAAAAAAACATTCTGTCTTTTATTCATTTATTTCCCATTGAATCACACATTTTTGGTATGAGATATAGGAAATAAGAATATATTCCACTTTCCCAAAAGCTCCAAATTGCTTTTTGTGGGTCTGCAATCCCATTTATAAGAGAGCTCACAATAAACGTTTCAAAAGACTGAGTAAAGGCTGGCTACGAAATTTCTTTATGACAATATTTGAGTGAAAACCTTGTGTTCCTCTCATGCTTTTTTCATTCAAAATGGGAATATTTTAGCAGTTAGCTGTCTTCCCATCCCACCAACACTTTTTTGGTGAAAACAATTTATTAAAATAAGGTGGTTAAAAAAATATTTTTCATGACTTAAAAAGTTCTCACCTTATAGATTTAAGCAATGAACCCGTCTCTTTGCACTCAAGTTCGAAACCCTCCTCATTTATTAATTTATTTAATTTATTT